TCTCTATTGGATAGGCGGTGTTACTCCCTTCATGGACGTGTCTTGACCCCAACATGATGAAGAGAAGTTGACCTAGAAAGAGCAAGCTCTCAAGTTAGATAATGCTCTTCGGATGCTTCATGAACGTGTCCTGATCCCAACACGATAAAGTAGAGAATGAAGAATCCTGGTTGGTAGAGAGTAGACAGATGAATGATCATTTGAGGAGAGACTTGGTGGTCCTTTGTTTGAAGGGAGGATTGTTGGGTATGTGACCAAAGTTCCATGTTGGTTAGAAATAGGAAGGATCATGGGTATATAAGGATGGACAAATATCTCTATTGATATGAGACTTTTTAGGTATAGTCCAAAAATAAATCCATGAGGGCTTAGGTTCAAAATGAATAATATCATATCAATGTAGATAAGTGGTTTCATAGTGCTTATAGTCCTTACAGTACACGCTATCTTTCTAAGTACCTGCTTTAAACAGTTATTCTCAAATGTCTCAGTTCTTTCCCACCGTATTTATTGAATTGTTTCAGCACAATAGTAACTGAGTTGACAACCATTCTCATCCTGCGAGCATCTACTCTTTTACTCATGGCTGCTTGCTTCCGTGAGATATTTTTTGGCCGCTCCTGTCCACTTTCCTTCTTGCTCCGTTCTTCAAGTTCAGGACAATCTTGAATAGACAGGTGCTGCAGTGCACTAAGCCGCTTCAAACTTTCTGGCATATGTTTTATATTGCGAAAGTCTGAAATTCTCAAAGATCTTAGTGAAGCAAGATTCTTGACCCATTCCGGCAAAGCTGTCAGGCCTGGACAGCTGTGGATTTCCAGGAAATGCAGCGTTGTGATATATTTAAGCTCCTCTGGTAGAGATAAAAGTTGAGGACAACTTAAGATGGGCAAACTTCGCAGGGCAAAGAGGTGTAGCAAACCTTCCGGCAAAGAACCAAGACTCGGGCAATACATAATACTTAAATGCTCAAGGGAAGTGAGGTGCTCCAAACTTGAAGATACAGAAGTCAAACTATTTCAGTTTTCGATGGATAAAGTCCGCAGCGAACTTAAACCTTTAAGCTCGTTGTTTGGTAAAGAGGTCATGCTACAGCATTCACTAAGCTCCAATAACTCTAAAGCATTGAGGTTCTGCAAGCTTTGCCGCAGAGACATAAGCTCTTCAAACCATCGAATTGTCAAGGATTTTAAAGCTGTGAGGCTCCCCAGCGCTGATGGAATCAAAATGAGTTTGGGGCAAGAGATGATCTCCAGAGATGTCAGAAACGTGTTTCCAGCAAGAAAACTTCCTGAGATAGAGTGAATTTCTGGGATTCTTTCTATAGCAAGGGTTAATAAGGAAGTGAAATTTGCAGTTGACAACATTGCTTGGTTGCAATTCCGTAGCTCCAAATGTTGAAGAGACGGAAACCGTGGCATATTAATTAATATGGGACAGTTGTCAACAACCACTTTCCTCAATTTAGAGAATGCATCTCCATCATTTGCAGTTGACCATTCTTTCAGATTTGGAAAGCCTCTCTAGCTTAGTTCTTCAAGTGATGGAAATGGTCTGAGAATTTCCTCACCATAGAACTCCGGACCAAATCTCTTCAAGCCATCCATTCCACAAAGAGAGAGTGTCTGAAGTAACGTAAGATTCCCAAGTGCTGGAAGATGTTCACATTTTCTACAGTTAGTCAAACTAACCACTGTCAAATTTGGAAGCATAGCATCCAATTTGGAAGTCTGGTTCCAGGATAACCTTCTACATCTAGTTGTTTAACATTTTGATGAGGTTGCAGGGCTTCAAGAATGGACGTCAGGTTGTCGTTACATTCTTCTCGATTATCTCTCTCTTCCCAATGTAGTCCCAACAACTCAAGGTTTTCCTTCTTCCTCAAATCAGCGGATGACGCTACATGTGGACGCTACATGTGCATTCCAAACATTCTGCAACTGTTTAATTTTCAACTCACCGTGAAGATTTACATGTTCCAAATGCTGGATGCCGTTATAGTAGCCGTCTACAGTAAACATTGTCAATGTTTGAAGCTGAGGCAACTCTTCAATATTAAATGGAATTGGTGTTAATGCTTCACACCCAGTTAGAATAAGACGTCTAAGATGAGCCATTCGCGACAAATTTGGCAAGCGCTCAAGATTACAGCAACCACGCATATTTAGAGTTTGCAAAGAATGCAGGCTAGGTGGAAATTTGGTTCGAGGATAACATTTAATAAGTAGCTTTTTTAGATTTTGATGAGGTTGCAAGGCTTTGAGAATTCCTGCTGCCACATAAGCATCTTGTTCACACTGTTGTGCAGGGCTTGCGACACCACTCCTTCCTCGAGCACTACCGTGTCCTCAGTGTGTTTCCAGTGTCTCAGTTTTTTCTTCATGCACAAATTAGCTAATTGTGCTTCGACTACATTCGCATTCTGCAAGTGCTTAATCTTAAATCACCGCAGAGATCTAAATGTGCCAAGTGGCGGGTGCAGTTGTAATCCCTATCTACAATATATTGTGGCAATGTCTGAAGTAGATGCAACTTTATGATACTGAAAGGAATCAAGGGTAAACAGTCACGTCCAGTTAAAATAAGATGGCGAAGATCAGCCATTGTTTTCAAGTCAGGCAATTGTGGAAGACCAGTGCAGCCATACAGGTTTGCAAAAGACGAAGCCTCTATACGCTTGGTGGAAAAACTCTGTTATTAAAAACAGGTCAAGTTACTTAAAACACAGCAAGCTACCTATAGGGATTTATCCAGACTTGCTGAGCCACAGCTGTTCAGATCTAGCACGCGCCAGTATTTGAAACTCGCAGCGAATGTCTTTCAAGCCCTCCACCCCTACCATTAAAGAGTGTCCGCTGTTGTTCTACCTCATACAATGCTTCTGGAACTGTAAATGATCCAACTTTACCGACGCGACATCAGTGGCAAGTTGGGACCAGGCTAAGTGGTAGAAGATCATGCTCCACTATCATAAATTCTTTCCCTGAAACATATCGTGCAAGATCATGAATGATATCATGCATTTTGTAGCAAATCATGTTGCCATCATCATATTTTTCTGCATCTTGAAAGAAACCCATCCACAAAAAATCCTTGAAGTACCTATTGCCAATATCTTCTGGTGGTTTGATCCCTTGTAGAAATCCCTCTGCCATCCATGGATGAATTAACTTCTCCTTAATTTCGTAAGCTTTTGGAAATATTAAGCAGAGAGCAAAGCAATGTTTGAGGTGTATTGGTAGATGATAATAACTTAGCATCAGGGAAGGTAAAATTCCACCATGGTTTACATTTGAACTACGAAGTTCACTATTTTCCACTAATAACCACTCTCTATCCTCTCTTTTGAAGCGCGTCAAGCTTCCCGAAGTTTTTGCAGCAAGCGGCAGCCCTCCAAATTTTCTGGCAATCTGCTTTCCTATTGGCAAAAGATTTGGATACTGCCCTTCTTCTCCTCTCCGAAAATCCCGTTGCCTGAACAAAGCACAGAAATCATCTTCATCCAAACCCTTCAAATGGTAAGGGAAGATTGGGGAGTCCATCATCATAGCAACTTTTTTACTACGAGAAGTGATGATGATTTTACTTCCAGCAAGACCCCCTATCAACAAAGGCCTTATCTTGCCCCACTCAATGTGATCCTCACTCCAAGCATCATCTAGCATAATGAGGTATCTCTTTCTATGCAACAAACCCCACAGCTTGGACTGGAGCGCATCCGTCTCTTTTTGGCATATTTTCTTTGTAGGAGACTATGTAACTGTCTTCGTGATCATCTTTGCATAAAAAATTTCAGACACAAACACCCAAATTTTAACATCGAAGTGCTGTGTTACCCTCTCATCATTATATCCAATCGCGCAAGATTTGTCTTGCCAATGCCCCCAACACCGGTTTTTGGAATAACTGTTGGATATCCTTCCTGGGTAGCTTCACAAGATAATAACTGCTGTACTATCTTCCTCCCTTCCATGAACTTCCATTCCAACGGTGAAAGAGCTCATTTCTCTTGTATTATATTTGTTATTAATAACAATATCCTCTCTCAAACTCAAGCCAAGTCCCTCATATGCAGTCATTTCCAAAGCTTCAAGTGCCTTCCTGACCTTCTAAGCGTTGATTGAAATTAGAACGGTATACTGCTTGCCTTCCACAGTAAGATGCTCTAGCAGGTCCTCAGTTACATAAGCTGCATCCCTGAGCTTCGACAACCAAATCTTCACAGCTTTTCGGTTCACTTGTTGCTCTTCTGCAACTTCAAGAATAACTTAAATCATGAAAAAGTATTGCTTCATCCTTTCTTAAGGTTATCCTCGAATCCCCAAATACCACCAAGCACTTCTATGAAAGGAGAAGCTATTCTGTCAAAGATCACTTGCAGGGCTGGGGACAAAACTTGGTCCGCCATTTCTTGCTGAGGGATCATAAAGTGTTGTTACGATGAAAATTGCATGGAAAAGAAAGTCAACTCTTTGCGTCTTTGATCAATCGATGAACCCTTCTACAAGTTCCATGCCGTTTATTGAAGGTCTTCCCATCAGAACCCTCTGTTTCTTTTTTTTCTTTTTCAAGAGGCCATCACCACACCGACCTCTTAACTTCAAGTCAAAAGTAATTTTTACTTTTCAAGGCAACTTCGTTTGACAGCATTTATGAAATATAATACAAAAAGGGAAAATCACTGCAACGCCGAACACTCCGCATATAAATTTATCAGAAATTACACTTTACGATCTCAATCTTATTAAAATATATATATATATAAATACTTGGATATAAATAACCACCACCACTATACCCTTATAATTGCACATTTCTCGCGCTCTCGTGCTCCAACAACTCCTCTTTTTAGCATTATATTAAACAATGCAAATGTAAGGCAGACGAGCAATTTCCTAAACTAGGCACTGCATTCAACTCTTTCTGCACCATATACCGAATCCAGCTCGGGCAACTAGCCCCAGCCACCCACATCTTCACCACCAACCACAACCTCCACGCAGCCAAGAGCACCACCAACAGCCTGATTTATTATGAGTAGATCTGCCTCAGTAGCAACAGCAGCAGCAGTAGCAGTTGGCGCCACCACTGTATGAGGACTAGCTTGACTGCAGAAAAATATTGTTTCAGTTTGATTTGGATATAATAGGGAATTATCTTGAGAAATGGGTATCTAGTTTGCAAAATGTTCCACAGTATCCAGAACTCTTTTGGTGATTGTTTTCGCTAAATGGTGATAGCTCAAATACTGAGGCCATATATCCTAGATCTGATCAAAATCCCAGAGCATTACAATCTGTTTCATTGAGGCCCCAAATTAACGAGAAAACTTCAGAGGTAGAAATACAAGAAATCAATATGATTATATATCTAAACAAAGTACATTTTTCATCGGTAATCAGTTTATCAATGTCAACAATATACACGGTGTGGTTTACAGGAATTGAAACCTTGTGATGGAGTCTGAGAATTATATTAAAACAGCCAATCCAGCTACCCTTTTGACTAAGTTTAGATTGTTCTGTCTGTAACGTTAGTCTCAGCAACAAAAACAATTGAGAAGAGCTATAATGAGGCCCACAAGAACAAATAAAATACTCTTTTGGGGTGAAAAATCTCCGACAGTTTTAAGGATCCTCAGTAGTTGCCATGCAGGGTGCTGATGGATCTAACATGTTTTTCTCCACCATGGCATCGTCAGTTCTAACTGGAAAGCCATTTTCTCCATCTAGCTCACAGTATAAAACACCCTTTCCCTGCAAATCCTCTGGTTCTTGGAGCTCACTGTCGTGTGCTGCTTGATCTGCTTCCACTTGAAACCTCAAGACATGACTATCATCTGTCTGATTTATACTTAACGATTTGGCTGCAGATGAGGTTGATGGAATAGGTGCTTGGGCACCGATTGAGTCACCAACTCTTACCTTTGTAGTATCAAGAGTTAGTTCGGTGTTGGTTCCATGAAGTGCATCAAGGAAATGGTACTCAAAAGCAATTCCAACGAGAGTAATGCATGTAAGATGAAATGCAACTCAATAACTAAAGAATAACTTCTAAGAAATATTCAAGCATGGGATTTATACATTAAATATGGCACTAACTTTGAATATTCAGAAAATAGAAAGATCAGGTGCACAGGAAGTCAGGGAAAGAGAGACAAAGCATGTGGACCGAAACAAAGAGTGAGCTGTCACAATGTTTTGGTTAGATTAAAGGCCACTAGCGGGAAATAAACAGATTGCAATGCAGTTTTAATAAAAATCTGTTACTGTATAGTACAGAAAATCTCATACCCTGCCATTCCTGCGACCAGCAAGTCAAATTGTAAGGTTTCCTAGCCTGTATGTATTTACCTGCAATGGTTTCGTAATATCAAATTCTCGAGCATCATTTTTGCTGAGTGCTTCTCGAGCTTGTAACTCCATGGAGTCTCGAACAAGTTGGCTCAAGAAGTTCACATCATCAGACATGACGCCAAAGTCTTTCAAAAGCTTAGAGCCAAGTTGTAAGCTCATCTGATCAGTATATGGTATATATAGTTAGGGTGATTGGTGAAAGTTATTGAAACCCCTTCGGAAGTGAAAGCCAACAAAAGGGAACTGATTTATTCTGACCTCTGCATTTTCCAATATAGCATCTGTCGCACCTGCTTTCTTTAGCTCTAAAAGATGGGTGAGATCTTGAGCTCTGGCATAAATTGGTATCTGCCAAGTATTGCACCAAAATTAGCAATTCAACCAAGAAAAGGAACATATCATTAGAAAAGTGGGTAAAATTGAAAAGAAAATATGGATGAAACAGAAGCAATAGAGTGGAATCAAGAAATAAATTGAGGTTCCCTTTGATATGACTTTTGCAAATTGATTTAAGATGTTTTTCTACTTTTGACTCGAAGAAAAGTCAAAGATGTTTGATAAGAAAGAACTTTTGACTTAATTAAATAAGTTGTTACAAAATTGGGTCAAAATTTTATTTTGCTTATACCACCTCCTTTCATTAAAAGAATTGCTTTGAGTCAATTTTTGTCAGACATACTTCCAACTAAACTCATAGTTGAATTATGCTTAGTGCCTCCTAGCTCCATTGAGGATAAATTGGGCAATGTGTTGAAAATATTTTTGGCACGGAGAAATCTCATGCAAATAACAAAATTAAGACGTCATATTTATAAACAAGGAAAAAAGGACCCAAAAAAAATATTAAAGCTTCATCCGCTTCTTACAGAATTAGCAGCCTATGATGGCAGTAAAGAGGTAGGATTATGATAACTCATATTAGACTCTATTCATTTTCCCTTTGTTTTCTTCTCCATTCATTTTTATAAATTGCACTTGATGCACATGCTCAGAGTGAGAGCAATACCCCGGTGAATGCAAGCCGAAGCCTTTGAACAGCCTCAGTTGTCCTCCTCCTCCCTGTAAACATGATCATGAAAGCCTTTGGGGAAGAGATACTAGCAGATTGCAATACCGCTGGAAGCGAACCATCCCCATAAAGGATTGGAAAACCAAGTTTCCTGGATGCCTGTGAATATTGAAAAATTAAAAGACCAAGCATTATAACCTAGCACAAACTATTAGCAAGAGAAGAATGGCTTGAGAAGTTGCAAAGGTTTAATGCCAAAAAAATCTGCAGATGTTCAGGCATTAGCAGATAAAAAGTTTCTATCCTCTCTACAAGCACATTTTAAGAGATGCTTTCATTTTCTCACTATTAGAAATGGGAAACCTCAACAATACTGCCAAACAGTTCTCCACGCAGTGTACCTTTTTCAAAGACAGATCTAATTGTAATCAGACTCATGTTTTAGTTCTCAACAATTATGTACCTGGAAATCTGTAAGGGTCATGGTATATGTAAGCAACAGCAATTTACTTGATTGTGTAAGTTAACATAATTCTTGAAAGCTCAAATTGATATTGAACTTAATTCATAACCACGTTTGTGGAAACAAAGTTACGCTGAACAGTTTATGGAAATTTTTAGAGGATGAACTTTGGATTGTAGAAGCAAATTATTTGAATCAAACTCAAAAATTCCTGACCTTGACAACAGAAACATTCAAATCAAAAGCTACATAAGGCCACCCTACAAAGCCGCCATCTATCCCAGAAGCCAAAGGGGCGGACAAGAAATTGGCCAATACCTGCATGTGCAAAAATGGCAACATTAGGGCAGTTTCAGCGCAATCAAAATGATACGTCTCTTTGAAACCAAAAAAAAACTGCTGTTTTTCTTCTAAATAACTACAATACCTGACCCATTTGTCCGAATCCAACAATCACAATAGGTTCACTAACATTGAAGTTCACCTCAGCAGCTTTCTGGCATATTTCAGATTTAACTTTAGGCACATTAGCAGAAGCAATAAAAAATCAATAAATTAATCAATACAACGTAACAATATGAAGAACCTAAAAACATTACATAGAGTGAGGGTCAAAAATGAAGAAAATAGTTCAGGTGATTTTAAAAATTCTGAAGCATCTAAGCATATAGTTGGTAAATTCACATCTGATGTGTACTAGCAAATATTCAAAACATGAGAACTTAGCATATACTCATAATAGACTGAACTTACATCTTCTGTGTCGAACTTGTCTTCAATGAACTCAGCAGCTCTTCTTCCAACCTCATTAAGCAATGGGGTTAGTGCCATTGACAACACAACGACAATTATGAGCAGCTTGTTAAGCTCAAGTGGTAGCACTCCCAGACTGCTTACAAGAAGATACAAATTTTAAAGAAGAAAGTAATCCAGAATGCTATCATAGCATGGTAGCACATTGATAAAATATTGACTGACCTGTTAGCTAGAGAGAATACAACAAATGCAAATTCACCTCCTTGAGATAGAAGCAATCCAATCCTTACACTTTCTTGCAAGGTGAGTCCAACACGAGGACCTATTGCTGTTATAATCATTGTCTTGATGGCGATTAAACCTGCCAAGAGAGAGAGTATATTTGGCCATTCTCGAAAAAGGAGCTGCACAAGAAGATAAATCGACTTGTCTGAGAGGAAATGAAAGAAACAATCAGTGAACAGAATGTTCTGGCACTAACGGTGAATTAAGATATCATGCCCATAAGAAGAAAAGCATGTCATACAGTTGTCTGTATTCAATGCTTCAAACATCCAGCATAACAGAACTGCTTATGAAATTAATAGGTGAGAAAAAATTGAACCTGCGTGTCAATTGAAGTCCCTGTAGTCACAAAAAATAACCCAAGAAGTAAGCCTCTAAATGGCCTTATGTCAGCTTCAATCTGTGTTCGGAAATTTGTTTCTGCCAGCAATGCCCCCGCTAAAAATGCTCCCAGCTGCATGATCAAATCAAATTCAATCAAACTGCATGGACTCAAAAACTCAATATCAACCATTTTCTATCACCAATAAGAAAGGTTTAAACCGTGTCACTGAAGCCCAATTTCTGAGTTAGAAGAGAAGTCCCAGCAACTGTTAGCAGGCAGAGAGCAACAAATGCTTCTGAACTCCTTGCTTCTGCAACAACCTGAATAACTTAGTTTAGTGCCGGCAACAACATTTTATGTATCCATATGTATGTCTGGATCTAATGTATAAAATAAGTATGGTACATACCTCAAACACTCGTCTTAGAAGGTATTTCCCCCCAAGAGAAAGCAACCCAAGACCACCTAAAGCCTTTAAACTTTCTTGGGCAAGCATTGGCCAAATACTTTCCTCCACCAGATTCTGCAAAATATATATATATATATATATATATATATATATATCACAGATGAAGGAACACAAGGTCAATGAATTACTTGAAGCATCTGGAGTATATCTCAGGAATTATCACTGATTAAACATAAATGGGAAAGGAAAATTGAAATCAAGATGTTTTTCTGGAAACATAAAGATTCTGAGCAATTGTCCCCACAATGAAAAGTTAAATTAATTATTAGCAGATCTCAACCAGATCACCAGAAGTTAAAAGTCATTATTTTCACTAAACTCTTTGTTCTAGACAGTCTTGGTCTTTGGCTAATCTGCTTTGCGTTATCCTGTCCAAACAAATAAAGCTAGCGGAACAGAAACCTTTTGAGTTTGGAGCAGGTATCTTCAAAGTGGGATTACAAGCATACCATTAAATTAATTTACGCAGCCTAAATTATTATTACTAGTAACAAAAAATGAAATTTATTTAGAGTTCTTCAGGACAGAAAAAAGCAAGTCTAGACATACCTGGCTCTCTAGCACAGGAAGTATGACCAAGAGAGGAACAACTGCTATGTCCTGTAAATAGAGAGTAATGAGGTTCCAACTTCCAACATCATTTTAATATCAAAATTTAAGTCTCTACTTGCATGAAAATCTTGGCAAGACAAAAGTACATTATCAATTCAAAACATAACAGAAATCTTAAGTATACATGTAGACAAGACCTGGTGTGAGTAATTAAAGTACCTGTAAAAGAAGTATTCCCAAAGTTGCAGAGCCAAATCTTGTAGGAAGCTCACCCTTTTCTGCAAGAAGCTATTTATACATCTGATAAGCTCAAGGATGAGATCCAATATATCTTATTTAATATAAATATTATGTATGTTGATATGATTGAAAAACAACCAAATCAAGTGGAAATCTTATATTTTGATTTTTCTTCAGAACTTTTCTTAGAAAAGGACTTTTGAGGACCCAGACATAATTCAAAGAAACCATGGTATACTTTACTTCAAAGAACATATCAGGGAGATGTGGAATCCATAGAACCAATATACTTATTACTGAATGGTCCTGCTAATCTTCTTCACCATCAGACTTAAACACTCCTATCTCCATCCATATATCCAGTTACAGGTTCTATAGGAACCCAGGTGACCAAGTAACAAACTCCTGTTTTGAACGCTTTGCAAGATAAGGAATTCCCTTCTCCTCTATCTCTCTTCACTCTTTTTGTCTTAAGCATTCTTCTCTCATTCTTCTCTCATTCTTCTTCTAAGCTTCTTAAATTTTATTCACTTTTCCAGTCTGATTTGCGAGTTTAGGAAAACCATGACAATCAAATAATCAAATAACTCCTTTCATACTTTCTATTCTCAAACTCTAATCACTTTTTGAACCTATCAAGAGCCATCCTATAGCTCTTGCTTGCAATCTTTGAATCATCTATAATGTCCTGCAAAGACTTGCAAACATTCCCATTTCCTTCTCTTCTTTTTCTTCGTCAATTTGTTATCACTTGTTCTGTAGTGTGATCATTCCAAAATTCGTTAATCCATGTTGTTAATAATTTTTCAAAACCAGAACCCTGCATCACATAACTCTAATTCTCTTTCAATGAAAAGCCTTCATGCTGCAAACCTTATAACAGCCCGAAATATAGAACATAAGTAGACCCATCATTTTGGATTGGATATGAATAATTTCAGGATTTAAAGTTATCCTAAATTCCACTATTAAAAATAGAAATGAATATACAGATGATCTGCGACTCATTGTTAGATTTTACAGCCTGAGTACCTGCAGAACAAAAGCTGAAGAAGAGAGAGAGAGAGCAGCACCAATAACAACAGCCTCATCAATGCTTCTGATGTTCACCTGGAATTCATCCAAACCAATACCAAGAAAAAGCAAAAATTATCCCTTTTTTCTTAGAGAACACATGCAAGATAACTTCAGTCACAAGGCTTTCAATAAACAACAACAGAGGAAACACACCAAACCAAAGAACTGCTAGATTTTAGCTTTGGGCTTGCTTAAAGAATTGCTTGGTAATCATATGCAAGTGGATTGAGAATATGTAGATAAGAGCACTCACCAAATCAGGTCTGGAATGAAAAAGGAACTCCAAAATTTTCGTTCCAATAGCACCATTTGGTGGGAGTTCAAATGCTGTGAATGCAAGAGTTGATAACACAACCTTCAAGGAAATAAATTCAAAGGTTCACCCAGCAGTTATAATGTAATTGTCATATTCTCATTCCTCAAAAGTGTATATAGTTACAGAGCGCAATGCAAACTAAACAATAGTTGGAAAAAAAGCAATTAAACTAAACTTGTAAAATGCCATAAAGAAAATATTGCTGAGATTAATTCTAGAGGAGCTAAGTCAAGGGTTATTTGACACCTAGACAAGAAATTCAGGAGACAACTGTCTGGCACAATTAAGCATTCCTATCGTTTCTTCAGATTTTATGTGGAGACACTAATTCATTTTTCATGAAATTTATAAACTTAATCTTCAAAGAAAGAGCAAACACCGCCAAAAAGAACCGGCTATTTTAAAATGAGCATACAACATCATACATTAAGATGAATGATACAGTATTCTAAAGGGAAATTTCTAATTGTAATGTTAAAGCATATAACAACATATTCAGAAAGTGGTTTGAGCCTGATATCTATTTTCAAATTCAGGACAGTTCAAGTTTTATCCTGGCTAAATAAGACTCCAGAGCCCCAACTGAGAAACCCAGTGTCTTTTGACCCACCCAGAAGCTCAGAGCCTTGCAATGCATTTTTGCCAGAAGTGAAAAGGACTTGGTTCCATTTTCACACATAGTCTGAGCGTCATGTAAATGTACCACCCCTTTTTTCCACAATTATGCTGGTTCTAACTGAAACCTTTACTTGTGTATTTGCCTCCGTAACATTGAAAACATAAACTTCAGATGATTGAATAAAGAAACACATAATAATATGGGAAAAAAACATAAAGCATTGCATATTGAAAAGTTCTTAGAAATCTTGTCAAATACAATTTTCCAACAAGTTAAAATCATGTATATCTACTTAATATATTAGTTAACCTAGCTATCAAATTTACTTTCCATAATTGTGCAAGGAACAATTTGGCTTACAGATTTGAATGTTATACCTGCGTCAATCCCATGCCAAAGGCATATTTTGCAAGTGCCTTTAGACGTGCAAGTGAAAGCTCTAAACCCATCTCAAACAGCTGAAAAAAGGAACATGTATTCCAAATGGAACAAGTATCATCTATACAGTATATAATAATGCATAAAATTAACATAGAAGATGCTTAATAATGAGCTCTTGTCCGAACAACGATGATCAGCATTTACAATGAGAACTAAACAATATTATATGTGCATTTGTTTCTTCCTTCAAAAAGCTAAAAAGGAATAAGCTATTTTTAATTATTGAAGTCATCTAAAATCCCCTAAAAAGACCAGAAAGCCCATAGAGTATATGAGGTTTTGGCAAACATACAATGCCAGTTTCGGTGATTGATAGTAACTGTGCCTAACTTCATTGTTAATCCCCCCAGCCCCCATTACAATCCACATGTATAGTAGAGCAAATAACGACAACAATGTTACAGATAATAGAGCACCATGATTAAAAGCTCCAAATAGCAGCGCATATGAAGGAGAAAAATAGCAGCAACATAGTACATTAAGCCAAGTAAATGACGGATCTTACCAAGAAAAGTATCCCCCATTCAGACAGTACTTTAACATCTGTAAGATTTCGAATGAATCCAAACTGATTGAGTACAATCCCAGCAAAGAAGAAACCGAGTATCTGAAACAGCCAGCAACCCCCATTATCATGCAGGATTCAAGCAGAAGGAAAAAAATACATTCAAGCATGCTGCATTATTATCCACATGCATGCTTCTACGAATTAGGCAACCATCAACATTTCCAAGTAACACAAGCATTAATCTTATGGACAATACAGGTTCCATCGCCCTTTCTATATACATCCAAAGCATTTAGAAGCAATAATAGTTGAATGGAACATCAAATGGAAAAGAAAGTAATAAGAACTGTAGCTAATATTAAATCTTACAGGACTAGCTCTAATTGTCTTGAACACAGGAACAACCACGACAGTCACACCTAAGAATGTCAAAGTATCCAATCCTAAATCATTGATAACGTCTATGGCACTACCAACATCAACAGCTGCACATAGTCGAGATCTTTCCCAACGGCCCAATCTATGTCTGGACATGTACATTCCTCTTGAACCACACAATCTGGAAGTTAACAAAGATTTGCCTTCAAATATATTTCCCGAAACAAACGAGAATTGACTAGTCCAGTAATTTAAGCCACATGATGGCATGCGCGTTGGCCGCTTTGTGAAAAATCTAGCATTAAAAGAATGTACATGAAGATGTGATATATGACGAGAGCATGCCCTGATTGAGCTTGATTTGTTTCTAATATTGTGCCCCTGCAAATCAGCAAACAAATGAAATGGATTACAATCAGAACGACTATCTTACTTCAAATACTACAAAATGTTGAATAAATGCACAATATATACTATACTGTAACCAGTTTAAAAACTTCCAACATAGAACCAACTTAGAATGTGTAGTTCCCACCGCAACCAAAAAGTGGCTCTCACAACTTAGTGGTGTAAACAAAATGTAACTCAAAATGTGGGCTAAAATCAGAAATTATTAAGAGGGTAAAACCAAATAAATAACAATAAACTTGAAACGAATAGGCACTAACCCGATTGTGCAAAACATGGATAAAAAGATAGAAATGAACAAGCCGATGGAGTACTAGTGTAGAAAATGAAGTAGCAAAGTTCTCAAGCATAACAATTACTAAACGTAACAATCTTAATAAAGAACAGGAATCAGAAAGATGGGAAACTGCTTAAAAAGGAGGGGGGGATTGAAAAGATTGTTACCTTGGGACTGTGACAACAAGTGATTGACTCCAGCATATTAGTAAAAAGAATAACGGGTTAATTAAGAACACAAGCGCTGGAGAAGATCAGCTATCTAAAGAACTGAAATGCATTTGTTTGTTAGTTCCAGTCACCTAGTAATCTTGTGTTTGTGTTTATAATTACAGGCAGGGACTAAAAGGAGAGGCCATAAGTGGCCACACGTTTATTAATCAAATCCCACTGATTTTAGAACTTGGAGAAATGAAAAGGAGAGAATTTGGAGAGTGAAATTTGTTTGTGGTAAGAGGAAATGGAACGTAAAGTCGAGTGGCCAAGAAGAACTTCTGGTTTGTCATCTTGTCAAGTGGATTTTTTAAAACTGAAAATTAAATTTTTTGTCCATGTGGCGGATTGGCAGATTGCTAACGCTGACTATGATTATCTGCGCCGGAAACTTATTTTTACTTTATTTATTTATTGCCAAAATTAGAAAGAATTTCCGATTTTCTTAAAAAAAATTATTGCGACAGGGATTAGAGGGTGTTTGCTTTGTTTTTAACTTTAAATTATCAAAGAGACAAAATTACCATCCCTGCGGTCATTCAACGGCAATTTTTTGTCATACAAATCCACATAACACGGCCCACCATGCTTATGGGTTAGTTTGGTACTGTGATGCTATTATGATTATGATTTAAAAAAATTATTTTATAAAAATTATTTTTAATTGAGATTAATTTAAAAAATATATGTTTTGTTAAAATTATAATTGAAATTGAGGTTAAGCAAAAAATAATTTAATGTGTTTGATTAATAGTACTTTGAGGTTATAAAATAATTTTAAAAAATTATTATTAATATTGATGGTTTTTAATTTAAATATTATAGATTTAACTATTGTTATTACATTATGAAATAAATAATATTTTATATAAATTATTTTTTATTATTCCATTAAACTATTTACAATTTCATCACGTATGAAATATATCCAATAGGGACTATATTTTTTTATTATTTCTTAAGTACGCAACAACATCATGTATAATATAATCAGGAAAAAAATTGGAATTGCGATTAAATTCTGTAAATGTTACATCATCAAGCGATTTCTGTCTAATTTATATAATGTCATTGAATAATGTTAAATATTAGTTTTTTGAATAAAATATAATTAAAAAATATAAAATAATTTTTATTTTTTATTTTACTAGGTCGGACTTAATTCAATATATTTTGAGCTTGGAACCGGTCCGACCAAAATACTATAGCTGACTATACTGTTCACATGAATAGTATATCATGCTACATTGTTCCTTTTAACCATAATAAAAAATATTACAAGAGTGATTTTTCATTTCTTTTCTAAACAAATAGGAGAATTCAACAGATTAATTAAGAACTCAACGAATTAATTAGCAAGAACAGTGGATAGTCATACTCCACTGTTTATGCTAAAGGTGTAACTCGCTTGTTATAGAAGACGTTTGGTAATGAGATTGCATCTGCGTCTTAAATAAAACGCAGATATAACCCGTTTGGTAAAAAAAAAAAACAACTTACTATTCATAAGTCCCACATTATTTTTGCGTTTAAAACGCAAGAGAAAGAAAAACAAACGAATACTACTTTTTGTATGTTTCATGCTAATTAATTAGCATGAATAGTGGATAGCCATGCTCATGAGCTATTAATTAATTTGCATAAGCATGGCTATCCACTGTTCATGCTAAATAATTAGCATGAAACGCACAGAAAGTAGTATTTATTTGTTTTTCTTTCTCCTGCGTTTTAAATGCAAAAACAATGGGAAACCTATGAATAGTAAGTTTTTTTTTTTTTTACCAAATGAATTATATCTATATTTTATTTAACACGCAGATACAACTTCATTACCAAAAGCTTTCTATAACAACCGAGTTACACCTTTGTTTAAACAAAAAAATTGCTTAATTGATAACAATTTTTTTAGTGTGGAGACAGTGGTATGGTTTAAAAGTGACCTAACCAAATTACTGGAAATGGAAGTGTGAGTTTTTTAACTGCAAAATATACAACTTTTACCGTTAATTTATAGTTTATCTTCCCAGCCCCCTATTCATCTTCCACGCAGGAAGAAGATCTCTCATCTCCAGAACAGAAGCAGCACGATGGCAAAATGACAGCATTCTCTTTATACTCCAAAAAGTTCATAAGCACGTAACAGGGGTAATTATAACCAACAGTAATAGTCATTTTTTATTTGGCTAAACACGACATTATCGCAATGTTTTATACAGAACCAATGGTACTGAACCATGAAATAACCACACCATTAGTTTTCACTGGGAAGAATTTGCAGGTTCAAACTTAAGTGATATACTATTGACACAATGGCGTTCGTCGGTGGGAGTTCGAAACCCTTCGCCTTTAAACACGTGTCCCAGATGTCCACCACAAGCTGCACATGTAATTTCAATCCTCATACCATCTGGATCCGGCTGATAACAATTGCCAAGCTTGTTAATATTTCATGACATAAATTGCTATAAAATGGTAAGCGAAGGGGAAACTAGCAGAGCAAAAGAGCTCACATTGCGATTAATAGCTCCAGGAAGACCCTCGTAGAAAGCTGGCCAACCGCAACCGGAATTAAATTTCGTTGTTGACCTGTACAGGGGTGTTCCACATCCTGTACAACTGTAGATACCCTCTTCAAAAAATTTGTCATATTCCCCCGTGCCAGGATACCTGCAATAAAGCATAAAACCTTGCTAGCTTTCTTGAGAAACATCCGCAGGATTCATTCAAGACCACTTGACCATTATGCACTTCACCTAGTAATAGAAATTTCAAACAGATAGACCAGGCAGATTGTACGTGATTGAGGTAAATGGCACAAAAGGATTCGTATAGCAGAACCCAACTATTTTGGAATTAAGGCTTGGTTGTTGCTGTTGTAGAATAGGCACTTAGGCAAAGGTTCTAATGCATATCTCTAGTCCTTCATTTAATTTTTGAAGAACCAAGGCGGAAGAAAGGAAAATCTGAGATCTTCCTAACAGCCAATTCAATGCCATCCAGCAATAAAATTCCAAGTTCTAGACTTTTAATATTATCCTGACTACCACCCATCTTCTGCTTCTCATCCCTTTCATGTTGCTATCTCACTCCCTTCCCTCTTGGCTCTGGCAGTCGAGGCACTCAGCAGGACATTCAGCCAAGTTAGTAACATCAGAGTGTAAAATTTTAAGTACTGCTACTTCACCAAATCTATGATCATCCTGACATGAACATGCTAAAAAGCCACACGTCCAGCTGATAGACAACCATAAAAGCTACATACTAGTTGCCAAGGCATAAATCAATCAACCTTTTTCACTCTCAACCCAGCTTGGATCGTCAGCTTTGGCAAATCACAGAACAGAACATAGGTACACCCTGGCTCAATGTTCTATTTGCTACTATACAATGTACCTTATTGTCTAAAGAAAGATCTGAAAAAACAATTCCTCTAACCAATCCTAAGTTATTAGAACTGGCCTGGGTTGCAGGTTTGCCAAGTCAACCTCAAAGCAATATCATTTTGGTTTTTTTATAATGAAACAACATTGTTTTGGGAAAAAAAAATTAAATTAAATGATGTCGCTTTGGACAAAAATTAAAAAAAGAAAATTAATCCTCAAAGTTGACTTAGTCAGATCTCATCCAAGTCGGCCATATTTGATAGGGTCAACCCGGATTAGGTCAACCTCCAAACTAGTTCAAAATGAAACCTGGCCAGGTCACCAAGTCCTAACAGGTGGGTTATGCTTCTATTCCTCCTGGATTCTGTTGTTGTGAACTTGTAAAGGAAATCTAACTAGCTTAGCTTTTGAGATGAAACTCTTTTGGTGAACTTCTTAAGATCTAGCACGTTCTCGATCTCTTACATGCTAAACAAACACACATGTCCGCTTTTCCTATTTTTATCACAATTATTTTCCCTGCAAACTCCTGAGTCCCGTGTTACATTAATGCCAATCAGCCCCGGAAGTAGAAAACATCATTTTAACTTCTTAAAACTGAAAAGCATGGGCCATGAATCAGCAAAACAAAACTCGAACACGTTCAATAAACCATTAAGCCACAAAATAATGTAAAAACCAAATGCTCCTCTTGCAATCATATTCTTAGAAATTTTTCATGCACGCTGGATTTTACATGCATTTCAATAGGGATAACATTCAAAGGGACACTAAAAGAGATTATTTCGAGCATGTCCCATCCAACAGAGTTCAATTGAATCGCTTGAGCAAAGAACAGAATTCAGAAGAACTACTTGAACTTTGATTGTTAAGAAGTTAACCAAGCCCAGAGGCAGGATAAAACAACAAAATGAAAAAGCAAACCAAGAATTCATCGCCAGAATATCAAGCCACAAAACATCAAAGAAAATGAATCAAAATTTTGTTACAGATAAGAATCTTGATGTTGAGGTTAAGCTACCAAAAAAAATGTAAAAACCAGACGCAGAAAAAAACAAACCAAGAATTCCTCAAAAAGTCAACCAGAGCATCAAGCCACAAAACAACATGAAAAAGAAAAAAAAATCAAAATTTAATCCTATATAAGAATCTTACTCTGTGCCTTTTTGTCTCAAAATACGAAACTGCTCTGGGGACAAAACAGCACGCCATTCCTCCTCGGACTTCTGGACGGACCCAGGAGCAGCCATGGCTATGACCCCACCACCACGAAACTGACGCTTGGTTTGATAGATGGACCCAATAGAAGCAGTAGCTGAAATGGAGTGGGCAGTTGGTTTTGGAGATAAAAACTTGAAATGGGTTTTGGTGAAGGAGGTGGAGGTGGATATGGAGGAAAGTGGAGAGAGAAGTTTGGAGAAAGCGTGTCTGGTTGGTGTGGAGGAGAGAATTGTTTTGGTGGAGGAGAATTGGGGAGGTTTCGGGATGCTAAAGCCCATTTGAGAGACTCGGTCACAGAGTGACGAGGCTTTCTTTGGATATTGGTTTTATTAATTCTTTTCTTGGTTCAGAATGCGAGGGTGCGTTGACGAGCGCTTTTAAAGTGTTTTTTAATTAAAAACATATAAAATTAATATAAAATTAAATTAAATTTTTAAAAGATATAAATTCAACCACGTTCCCGAACATTTTGTTTAGCGTTGACCAGCTCACGTGTTCGGTAATCTTTTCCACAGAAAGGGGGAAAGAGTGAAGGGTACTGGGCCGTCGGGCCAGAACGGGTTGTCGGCCTTTCCTTTGGATTATCAGTAGCTTTCTGTTAGGGTCAATGGGCTCATAGTTCCTTCCAATACCCCATTCCTCGTGTGTGTGTGTAATAAGTA